GCATATAGCAGTGTTTCTCTCTCTCTCTCTCTCTCTCTCTCTCTCTCTCTCTCTCTCTATCTATCTATCTCATTCTTCTCTCTCTCTCTTTCTCTCCTTTGTCCATCCTCTTCTCCCCCTCCCATCCCTTCTTCACCTTTCTCTCTCAGAATGAAACAGGAAACTTTTCATGGTACTTAGAGATAAGATGAAATTAATTTGATTCTGAACAAATACTGGACATTAAACAAATCCAGTCTAAAACTGATGTGAAGTTCAAGAGTCAGCTCATACTGCAAAGGTAAGCATGACTGTGAAAGTGGCCCATGAGCTGGAGGGACTTTCTATCGTGAGCTCCAGTGCATTGATATGCTTGCGTACCATCTACTGAATCACTCAGGAAAGCAACTTCTAGTCATTCTAAAGGTCTGCTCACGTTTTAATCCTGCAAGTTGTTGAATTTGGCATTTCCTATCAGTTTAACTTTTCTATCATCTTTTCTCATTTTTTTCTATTTGTCTCTCAATATCTCTTCACACTCTTTCTTAATTCATTTGTGTATATATATGTTGGTGTATACATGTACAGAAACTTCCTCGCCAGTCTCTGCCTTATTGCCCTGGCACAGGGCTTCTCGCTGAAACTGGAATTAGGCTGCAGGTACCCAGCGTCAGCATCCTCCTGTCTCCACTCCACATAGTTTCCAGGTCTAGCACTTTTAAAAGTGGTATCCGGGACTCTCCGGTCCTCACGCTTTCACAGCAAATCCTCTCACTCCCTGAGCTACCTCACCGATCTTTAACTCATTTTTACCTTCAACTTATACTTGACCACTTTCCTTTTTAATCCACCATAATCCTGTATATTCATATGTAATTACATATCTAGTGGCATTTATTTATGCACATATCAAAATGATATATCATCGGTTTTTACTATATATAAATATATATATGTATATATATATATTCATGAATAATTTGTCACTGACTGATATATATTTTCCTGTACCAATCCTTTCCTTTTTTCTCCACTGTAATGCCTAGCCCAGCATTTTAGAAGAGAGGCTATCCATGAGACCTAATCCTTGGAAATGACATATGAGTAGCTATGTATGCATGAAAATTCACTCAATATATGCCATTAACTGGGAGAGGCTTAGACTATTTTCTTTTCCCTTCGTCTACTGGACAGAATGAATACGGCGGGGGCTCATTGTGGACCATGAGGAATCATGAAAAAAGAGAGCTAAGCAAAATTAGAATAGTGAGACCCCCTGGTATGAACCAGAAAGAAGTGATCTTCATTTCGCACCCTTGAAAAGGCAAATGAACTATCAAATGCTTAAACCACAGTGTCCTAGAGGCAGTTCTATTGACCACTAGCAAACTGGATCCTAGTTGGTAAACACCCCAAGAGATTTTAGAATTCCACAATAATCATGGCATCATGATCATCAAATATGCAATGAATAAGCAAGTCATGATAGTAAATAAGAGTAGATGAGATTGAGATGGGATTATGCCTGTAATCCTGGCACTCAGGGAGGCAGAGGCAGGTGTGTCTCTGTGAGTTTGAGGCCAGCCTCAAGTCCAGGTCAGACAAGGCTACACAGAGAAACCCTGCTTGGAAAAACAAACAACAAATGATAAACAACAACAAGCAAAAAGAGTAGATGGGGTTGGCTTATGTGTTCCTCACATGATATAGATGAAGCCAAACGTCCCCAAGACAAGCCTGTGCTATAAACAGCTTGTACACTCTGAAAACATTTCAGGGTTTACAATATGACTGTAGGAAAACAGTTCCCATGCAGATCAGAGTACATAAACACTTGGGCAATAAATAGTAACTTCTCTATCAACAAATTCCTCATATGAAACTGTTATGAGAGAAAGGAGATTTTGACAGGTAGATAAGTGTAGTAAAAATCAGTTGTTCTTCAAATCACACTTCTCTATGGATGGACTGGGAAGTCTCTAGTAAGTCATTTAACCTATTCCTCTCCTGCTTTTCCCCATCTGCAATTGGCAAGTCTAAACAGTGTCATAGGATTATGCATTCCAGCACAGGCTACTCTTGAAGAGAGAAATGCATGACTACCCTTCAGTCTTCCAAATGTGTGTCCCCATCCTATGCCAGAACCAAGTTCCCCAGAGGGCCACCTCCAGATTTGCTTTAGAAAGAAATGACCTGATTAAGCTAAATGCTTTAAAATAGGACCATGTTGGTTTTCTTTGTGGTGGGCATTTTGTCTAATTGTCTAACTTACTGTAAAGAGAGAAGCAGAAGGAAATGTGGAAAAGAAAGAAGTCAAAGAAAGTGGGTAGGAAACGTCAATGAAATGACAGGTATGAAGGGAAACCTGAGCGAGCCAGAACTCTGGGACAAGCATTGACCCCTGAAATCCCCACAGAACACACTGCCCTGCCCTCGTCCCAAATATTTGGGTGTTTGACCCAATACATGGAACAAGAAAATATCGCTGTTGTTTTAATGGGCTGCTTGCGTCATCGTGATTTGATAGAAGCTAAGGAAACCAGTCCAGGATCACAAACAGGAAGCTGTGATGCACATGCCTTGAAGAACTACCATTTGATATGCAGTTTTGTACTGACAGCCTTTTGGGTTTGACAGGTTGCCATGGCACCAGGGACCATGGAGGCCCCCCCCTGTGTCTGATAGAAAATAAGAACAAGCAGTTCCTGGTGAATCCAAGAGCCATCCATATTCTTAAAGCTATTTCTCAGCCTGTGGTGGTGGTGGCTATTGTGGGAATGTACCGCACAGGAAAATCATACCTGATGAACTGCCTGGCGGGTCAGAACCACGGTGAGTGCTTTCCTGGGCAGAGTGCAACTGTTCATCTCCTTATGCCTCAGGCAATTACTGTGCTAGAAAGCCAACCTATCTTAAGAGCAAAAGTAATTCTTAACTTTGAGCTAATTACAGTCATCCATTCCTTTTTCCTGTTTTTACTTCTGTTAAAAATACAAAAAGGATACTGTTGCCTACTGAGCTAAAGAAAACCTTCAAAAGGCAGGACATTATCAAGGCTAAAGAGAGTAAGAACAAGAAGACAGAGGAGAGGAGGATAACAGGGAAGGGGGGAAAGGAAGATGAGAGAAAAATGCTGATGCTGAATAAAATGGGTCTAGTGCATTTTTTGTCTTTACAGCATTGAACATCTCATTGTCACTCCTTTCAAAGAAGATAATTTTAAATATAAGACTTGTAAGACTTGATTTTTCTTGAACAGTGTCTCTATTTCTTTAGTTAATAACATTTGGCTGAAAATTTCTATGGATATCCCTGTTCTTGGGTTGGTAAAATATGGAAGAGAGGGGTTCAGACTGAATTGAAAGTTAAAGCAAGATGTCTCTATACAGCATTGACCAGTCATATATGAGGTTGTCATTAATAAAACTTGTGCAAGTTAAAAAACAAAAACAAACACAAAAACAAAAAAACAAAAACAAAACAATATAGCTCGTGCTTCTCCTCGGGATCCCACACAACTTTCTCTTACCTGATGGCCGTAGTTGTATCTCTTCTCTTCTGAGAAGGGCATTGTTTTCTGTGTGGAATGTGCCCAGCACATTAAGGTGACTTTGTTATCTAAAACGCAAGAATCCTCCTGGATTTAACATTATACCATGAGTACCCCATACCTCATTTACCAGTTTTGAAAGTAAAATTCTCTTCTTTCCATTCCTTGTCTATACCCTCATAACCTTTATATGTTTCAAGTCACCTAACTTCTATTTCATTTGAAAATTTAATTTACCCATTTATTTACATATGCATTTCTTTTCTGAGTCTAGTTTCAGATATCCCAGGCGGGCCTTGAACTCACTATGTAACTGAAGATGATGCTGAATTGATCCTCCGGGCTCTACTACCCCCCTCTCTATATATATGTATACATACATCTATACATGTATACATGTATAGATGTATGTATACATATATACATACATATATAATCTATGTATATATAATATATATGTATATGTATGTATACATACACAATGTTCTCCTCTTCCCTTCAGGCTTCCCTCTAGGAGCCACAGTACAGTCTCAAACCAAGGGCATCTGGATGTGGTGTGTGCCTCACCCAACAAAGCCAAATCACACCCTGATCCTTCTAGACACTGAGGGTCTTGGAGATGTGGAAAAGGTGAGTCAAAAGCAAGGGACAGATGAGATTATTCTTGATTTATCCTTTCATTTTAATAATCTCTTGCAGTTCAACCTATAGAATGCAGTCTTGCTGTCTAGAAACAAACTATAGAAGATGACTTGAACTTGATGCTTTTAACCACACTTCTATGAGAAAAAATATTGTGGCCTGTTAGATAAGGCATTCATTTCTTTTTCCGTATAGTGAATCCTTAGACGGCATTGAACAGCCGTCTTAGTTCTTTGGAATTTTAGCAGCTCGTCTTAGTTCTTTGGAA